GCGGTCTTAAGTGACTTTTTACATTTCCTAAGCTGCGCTGCTGCTTCGGCAGCCTCAACGATTGCCTCGATCGTATTCTGATCGTGAATCTGGAGGCGGTTGGCCCGCGCAACGAGTCAAGTCTTGCTTCGCTTGGCAGACGTACAGCTCTTTCTCAGCGCCGAGATTTCAGTGTTCCACCAATGGACAGGCTTCTTGACTGGAATCGAAGCTGACCGCCATGGGAGCGATATGTCGCAAGCGGCGAAAATGTGATCCTCAAGTACCTCTGCTAAGTTGTGAGCATCTCGTCCACGGTGGTCTGACACAGGGTTAAGCCAGTCCGCTATTAGCAATCCCACTTCTAGCAGGTCATGGTTGATGCCCTTGGTTGTATCCCTTCCACGGAAGACGTAATCACTGCTAACTGGCTGTGCATTTGCGCGGCTCCCGAGGTCAAATGTAATGTAGCATTGGTCGCTGTGATTAAACTCTTCGTTGAGGACTCTCCAGGACGAACAATTGACCGCTGCCGATGTTGCCGTGACGTCCACGATGGATCCCTCCCCACCCGTGAAGGTAGGTGTGGAGCCCACGTTTTGCACGATCAACTGAAGGCTTGCAAACAAATCACCGAGGTCATCGCCACGCTCAGTGGTTATCCGATTACCCCAAGCCGCGAATCTGGCATTAAAATCCCCAGCTACCACTACTGAGTTGCCTTGTGGAATCGACCTGATGCTGTTCTCCAACCTGAGAAGGAGATTGTTGAACGCGTCCCGAGTATTAGGATTGGGTGTGGCATAACAGCTATATATCTGATAGCCACCCACTCTCGCAGACACAAACTCTGAGTCCCGTATGACGTTAGCCACAGAGATCTGTTTGCCCGCTACCATTATGGCCGCTTTACCCGTCTTGGTGTAGGTTAGCATATTGCATCCGTTGTCACTGATCCTGTATGGATCACTGAGAATCGCTACGTCGATTCCCTTCTCCTCCATGAATTTAATCATGAGGTCTTGGGCCACTCTGCAGTGGTTCAGGTTGACTTGCAGAATCTTAAGCATCGGAGTGAGATTCTGCTATGCTGCCAACGGCCTGACCAACGTTAAGGCCACTCTTCTTACGCTCTCGCTACCTCTCAGAGCGCTTTATCTTAACCGTGCAAGCGATCGCCAGGTGATCGATGCTATTGCACCGGAAGCATCTCTTCTTTCCTTCATCCGAAGTGCAGCCCGCGGCCAAGTGGCCACGCTTCTGGCAGCGATAGCATGTTTTTCCTTGGTTTCAAGCAGTTTGACACGGCATCGACTCCAGCTAATGTCCAGTCTACCCAGCTCTGCTAGTTTGATAGCAGCTGGGAGTGGGGCATCGAAGCGCCAATCCACGTCCTCGGCGCTATGCCATTCGGCTAGGTCCAGGATGAGGACCGGGGTTGTGCGCGATGATTTCTTGATTAGCGCTATCTGACCTACAGCAGCATTCAGGGCAGACTCTAGCTTATCGGCCTCTTTGTCGTCCTGGACCTTAAGAAGTATTGCATCTGACTTGGTGATCCAGACTACTAGTTTCAGGTCAAGCTCCTTCAATTGCACGTGCTCCTTGGCCTTGCGCATGATGTCCGCATAGGAAACCCCTTGTGTTGGCTGGCTTATTATTACAGCACCGCCTTTCGACACCCTCTTGCGTGCTAATTCCAAGGGTGTGGTATGGTCCGCCACCCTTTTCTTCGTCTTCGCCTTGACGACCGTAAAGTCGTCTGCGCTTCCACAGTAGCAGGGTGTGACTCTTGCAGGTCCGTATACAGGGCATTACGTTCAGAGCTAGTTATAATAACTAAGCTTAAACTTCATTACGTTGACCGTTGCTACTTGTTGCGAGATATTTAATTAATACTGTTTTATTTAAATTAAAAGTGTTTTAAAATCATTTGACTACCTAAAAAGTAATTCCTTGTTCTGAGTTCATTCGCTCTGTGGACTTTCATCTCCTGAGCTCTCCTCAAAGAAGATACTCAATACTTGCCCGCTGTACACAGGTAAGAAATTATATTAATATATATTCATAACCAATGGTAAATATAATAATATTAATATATTAAATAATCAAATAGCAAACCCTAGAATATTTATGTAAAACAACCTTATTGTATAATTAATCTGTACTCACTACCCCTAGATACGTAAAATACGTTCTTAATGATAATAATATATAGGCTTTAATAGATAGTAAAAATAAGGTAAAGAATGTCGACACTCCAAGCCCCATCATTTACATTTTGTTAAACGCACTTGACTATAACATCTCAGTTACTATATTATTATGAAGTAAAGTTTCATTGATGGCAACCAGCTAGAGCATTTTTTTTGATTCATTACAAAAAAAAAAATCATGCCTATGTATTCTTATAATTTTTTAATTAATAGCCTAACCTAACCTAACTGAAAGAAATTTCAGCTAGAATGAAAGCAATTCGTTCATAAAAAAGCGGGTAAGTGGGTACCGTTCTGTTGTACATTAGGTGCCGTATGGATCACTATTATATCATAAAGAAGTGTTAAATTTGAATGTAATGATAGGTATCATTGCATACGAAAAACGATTCTGAACGGAGGTGATTTTGACGAATTTTTGTCAATATTTGAACTTCAAATGTTAATTTAAAAAAATCATTCCTATGTATTCTTATAATTTTTTAACCACTATAAGAATAACCAAATACTCTATATGACAATACGGGACAGTCTCGATAAGAATCACGACATACGTAAAAACATTTTCTTTCAAGCTTTATCCTTAACTCTTAAGTAATTTTTATTAATTTAAGTTTGGAGAAAAATCTTTCAGCTGAAGCCACAGTTACAGGAATCGTCAAAAAAATTATACAAGCTGTTAGAACATTGTGCACCGTTTCCGTTCCAACGGCCGCGGCGCGGTGGGCGTCGAATCTTCGCAAAGCTCGACCCCGCTCCCCCACCAGCTACAGCGCCCCGCGCCTACAGCTATAACGACCCGCCAACCAGTTGTTGTTGGCCGTTACGAGTTGACACCCGGTACTGTTTTCGCGCACTTGCCAGGCCGGTCGTTTTCGTTTTTTACTGTGTCATCGTGCGCTTTCGTTGGTTTTTGTGTTTCGTGTCGCACTTGTCCAGCCGACGATTAATCTCGTGTGTGYCCTTTGTTCGCGTTGTCCGACCACGGGTCCGTCGATGTACACGTCGCCCTTTCGTGTCGACCATTGTTCCGTTTCTTTGACGCGCCCCCCCGTGCGCTAGATGACCTTCCGTGCTGCTGCTACGTCGTGGGTATCAGTCAATCGCCAATGGGTCGAAGTCCACGACCGTTCGTGCACAGGCGCCCACGTGGTTCCACCCGTTGATATAAAATCGGCGGAATCGTTATACGCCCCTTTTTTTAAATTTTATTGTGTTTAATGTTATATCAAAATTTAAAATATAATAAAATTAATTGATACCTATGTTTAATTAATAAGTACAATTGGCAAATCACATTTTTTTTCTTACTTATTTTATTGCAATACCTTTAGGCTACCCTTACCTAAAATAAACTATTGCCCATTGGTTACACTAAATAAATTCCAATTCCTTAAAACATACAATATGTTGTCTTCAGTATTATTCAATAACCTATAGGCTACACAACTACCAGCAGTAATTTGTTTGAACTTATGATGACATGTGTTATATGTATGTAATTGTAATATTAGTTAGGTTCGGTTAAATAGGTAGGTATATAGAAAAAAATTTACTAGGAACACCCTTGAAGAAAAACACATATATAAAAGGAATATCTTTTATATTACTCATTTCATCAATGCAAATGTAACAGAAACACTATAAAAAAAATCATCATTGTATTAATACTTATTACTAATTTGTGACTAAACCATACTCTGTTAATCATAAGAATTTCTAGACGGCATGCACACCATTTTATTTGTGATATTCATTAATTTCTTAATTCACTTAATACTTTATTATTATTCATCGTGAATTTCTAACTGATGTCACACATACATATATATATATATACTGGGTGATTTTCATTTTTTTATCGTGAACCAGTTCAGTATTCTCGGGAAGTATAAGGAATTTTAATAGAAGATAATGCTACTGTTGAAGTTAAATGTCCGTTTTCTGTTAATGATTATGAAAGTTTGGAACAAGCTCTTCTTGAAAAGTTTTATATCTATTTTTGTACTTCGTAATCAGGAGTATTTAATATAAAAAATACTTTATTCGAATAATAGTCTAGATGAAAATGTATTGTAAATTGTAATATCCACTAAAATAGTAATATTGCTTTTAGATTCCTTATTTAATAAATAAAAACAATACAGTCAAGTTAAAAGTAGATAGTAATTACTACTATCAGATCCAAGGCCAAATGCACATCACAAAACGGAATTTATGCTATTTTTTTATATTTACTCCGAAGTGGAACAAACTCGAAGTTATTAATTATTATTCAGAAGTATTTTTRGTTTCTATATAATATGAATTGGTRAAATTCTATTGGTATTTTTGTAAGTAGCATTTATTATATTTTTCAGATTTTACGAAGAATGTTTACTACCTGAAATAGTTGATTCTCAATACAGAAAGCGAATGCAAAAAAGCAATATTATTGACCCCCACACATCAAAGAAAATATTATAAAATATAAAGAAAAAAATAAAATAAAATAAAAATTATATTATACTTGTTGGACTTATATTAATTTTTTTTTTATGGTTAAATAACAGGAAATTGTTGATTGTTATCCTTTTATAATATTAATATAGGTAATATGATTATAATTTATTTTTTAAATAAACATATTATGGTGATAAATAATATAGGTCACATACTAAATCTATTGATTGATTTTTGCATTTGATAAACTGTAATTCATTGAATTGTGTAATACTTAATATATAGTTTGTATAGTAATTTTAAACAAACAGTAACATTAACATTAACAGTTGAACGTAAAAGATAAAACACGGAAAATTAATATTAATTTAATTCGCTGTATTTATTGTATTTACCATTTATTAGATTTTACAATATGTAATAATTCAATAACTACAAATCAAGCTATGTTATAATACAGTTTTACRATCTATATATTGGAACATAAATTTAGGTAAGCAGTATCATAATTTATAATCGGTATGCACGGGTATTGAAAATATGGCGGCATTTGCGTATAATSAATTTTATAATAATACGAATCGTACTGGACAAACACTCATAGACAAATAACCGGCACTCCCAAACGAGCAGTTGTCGACCGGTTACGAATTGCGAATAGTAGGTGTGACTTAAACGCTTGCGGATCATGAAAACACATAACAGCGCATCCTCTCGGTCGTTGTACGCGTAAATGTTTGGTGACACGTCCWCTTAATGTATACAACTTAAGAGTAAAAATATAATAATAAAATATAATTAAAATGAAACACAAATTGATTATCTAATACTATAGGATAGAGTAATAGGGCACTTAAAATAAAGTAAAAAAATGTTTAACAATAATGTGATCAAGAAAAATAGTTTAATGAAATACTTAAACAAAACAAATTATTATTTGATTTATGATTAGCAAAATAGTAGTTTGATAAAAATATTAGCTTCCAAAATAAGAATACTAATTATCACTTAACTTGAAATTCGTAGTATACAAAATAGTATTCATGTATATTAAAATTAAGTATAAAAAAAAAACTTAATCAGTTTGATTACCGCTATAACAGATTTTTTTTAAAAGTCTGCTTTATAACTGACAACAGTATCCATTCTATGCAATGAAGTTGAAAATGATCGTAACTGTAACTCTTGAGAATTAGCAATATAACTAGGAGCAGTTTCAGACCATTCTTGTGGTACATCTACATCAGGTTTAGTGTATATTTGCAAATCGAAAGCACATGGACAGTCAAGTAAAGGTAAAAAACTAACAGTAGAACAAATTTGCCTTAATACATCTCTAATTTCTTTTTGGATTGTTGCTAGCTCTTTATTCCCAACTGAGTCTGGATTTGAATCGCCAGATCCTTCATACTGTAATTTGAAATCCCAGCGTTCCATCACTTCTTTGGTGTTAACATTAGATATAACCATTGACATCTTTTGAATTTTTTGTTCTAACAGCCAATCTAAAAAAAAGTAAAATTAAATTTTTATCTAAAAAATATATGTTAAAAAAAAAACCTTGAATGGGAAGTACTTTTAACTGTACGTACAATATAACTAGTAAATAATATGTCTGTAAGTTTGTAATTTGCAATTTGCATATCTATACAACTTTTTACAGAAAACTATTTTATTTAAAATAAGTTAATATAAAAATCTCAATAAATTKAATATACCTAATCTATAATTAGGTACAAAATTATTCATTAGTTTATGAAAAAAAAAAWATATATATATACATATATTATTAAATGTAGGTATTTMGTAATAATCAAGTAATTTAAAACAAAAGGATTATAAAAATCTAATATAACTCAAGGTACCTACCTTTAAAAGTTAATTCRATTCTCTAATTTAATTAGACATTTTTAGGAATTTATGCTTAATATTAAATTACCAAAATATTGTTTGTTTTAAATTTATTTCTAAATTCATCAATTACCTATTGAATAATTGAAAAATTATGATGCTTAGTTAGACTTCTAAGTTCTTTTTTTATTTTTTATTAGAAATATACAATCTGTAATAAAAATGTATAGGTACAATTGGTAATATGGAAGAGGCGTCTAAGTCATAACTCTAGGCAGTTTTTTAAATGTAAAGTCTCTAGGCTAATKTAGTTTAAGAAAGTGTGATGGGTTATCAAGAAGTATAAGAAWTATAATTGAAATTAGAAGATTTGAATGGTTGAATGTATTTTAATGAAATGGTTCATAATAGTGAGAAGCTAATGAATCAATCGGTGGAGATTTTGAACTCAGAGTGAAGGGAGATTATTGACGTACTAGGGGGCGAGTTGTTTTTAGTTTCAGTTAATATCTCTGTATTATTAAAGCATAACATACTAAATTTATGCTCAGAAGAACCTGTTTAACTCAGGTAATTTTATTAAATTGAGAGTAAATTGATCTTTGATAAAATTTAAAGGCAAGAATATCATCCAGGACTTTTAAGAATATTTAATTTTAAAATGTTTTGCTTTAAAAAAAATCAAAAAATCCTATGTGAAAATATTCTTGCAGATAAAATATACTATATAGTTAAAATGAATTGTTTATGTATAAGAAAAAATATTATCAACCACAGATAATGATATTAATTAAATAATTAAATATAATATACCTTTCATTTGATTGAGAACGGGTTGTAAGAACTGTTGAATTTTAGTATCTGTTGACACAAGAATCGACAGACCAAAATGTTCTTCTGTTTTGAAAGATTCCGGTGGGTATATTCCCCGTTGAAAAAGAATACTGTTAATTCCAAAATCTAGATCGAATAATTGATGTTATTACAATTGGACATTATATGACAGGTAAATAATAATCATAATAATAATAATTATTAGGTATAATACTTATATTATGCTCACTTAAATAGTCCATAACCAATTTCGCAGACCCTTTGAGAGTGATGGCGTTTTGGCTTTGTTGTTTGGTAGCCATTGTGTAATGTTTGTAAAGTATAGATTATTACAACAGCAAATTACGAATATTACATTCAGACATTCAGTCTAGATGGAATAAGGTTTAAAGTGAAATCATTAACATACACAATTTTAACAAATTAAAAAAACAAATAATCATAATATGATATAGAAAACCATAAATATTAAAAAATAACGGATAATCCTGAAACCACCAGGCACAGAGTCTGAAACAAGTGAAACTCAATTTGTGTTTGTTATTTAACAGTTTTATAGGTTAAGATTGATAATGGTTTTTTTTGGCGGTAAAACAATTCATATCARTTTGTAAAATCCACGATTTAAGATAGACTATCTTAAATCGTGGTAAACTCCTTCGACCATAATATAAGCTAATAGACGCGCCTTATCATATGCTTGTATAGGCAGTAGGCACAATTATGTAGCCATAATAATATTATATACATTTATTTAAAATGTTTAAGACATTTATTGAATTATTAATTATTATGTAATTTGTTAGCTTAAAAAAAGGTAGGCAGTATAATTATTAATTTTATACTAAAAAAAAAGTAACTTATTTTTAATTAAGTTAAACTTAACTTAAAGTAACTACTTTTATTTTCTAATTAACTTGTAACTTTTGCAAGTTAAAAAAAAATAGAGGTAACTTTTAACTTTAAACTTAACTTACTTTTTTCTATATTAACTTAACTTAACGAGTTAAAAAAAATAGTTAACTTGCCCAGCCTTGCTATTTTATGATTTCAAGTGTATATTAATCTGAGAGTTTACAATGAGGTAACAATATACTARTTCTAAATATATCATTTTGGTRAATTTAATTTAATAATTATATTTTAATTAATAAATAACTCGTAAAATAGGAGAAAAACCGWGATACACAGATAGATAGATAAATAGTAATTAGTGTTATAGTAAGGAAATAAGAAATTAAAGCGGACCATACACTATCATTCAAAGAATGACAATCGTCTTGAATGACAGTTCGACTGATGACTGATTGTTGCCATATACACATACAACCTATGGTCAATCAAGATTGACAGTTCTCATTTATTCTACATAGCCATTTGAGTTTACTTTATTCTCTCTATACTGTTTAATTATTTTACTAATTTTACCAGTTTTAAATAAAAAAATTTGAATTTTTCACTTTTATTATTACAATGAAAGAAGATGCTCTTGTTGCTATTGCAAAGAAAAAAGATTCTGGATGAAAGAATGGTTTAAGAAGAGACATACATTTTCTCWACATAATCTACTTGACAAATTGCGTTTATCATCTCYATCCGACTATAAAAATTACCTCCGTATGGACATTTCGACATTTTCAGAATTATTGGAAATGGTTACACCATTTATTTTTAAAAGAAACACTCATCTGAGAGAAGCTATACCACCWAGCCAACGTTTATMATGCACTCTAAAATTTTTAGCTACTGGTGCAAACTTTGAAGAACTAAAGTTTATTACAGCAATTTCACCTCAATCAATTAGAAGAATTGTAGTTGAAACATGTGAAGCTATTACATTGGTATTAAAAAATAATATCAGAGTAAGTAATTTTTATCATACCTTAACTGAATTAGACTACTTTACTTTTTATTACTAGTATCAAGAAAATATTAAACAAAATATAATAATTGCAACTTTAATATTCCAAACAATTAATGAACTTAAAAACATTAGTGATTAGTGTTTACCAATGCTTAAGAATTAAAATTTGTAAGTAAGCAGTAAGCCATTAATCAATCATATTTTATTGAAATAGCTAGAATACTATCTAGTATCTATAGTCCGGCCGCCRGCCGGCATTATTGCCCAAACGTGACGTCCCACGCTACATGATGCTGGCGTCAAGATACCTATAGTATGTTATCTAATCAAATACTGTGATCTAAACTTGAACTTATGATTGGACGTAGATTGTAGGAGTAATAACTAATAAGTATTAATGATAAATCTGTATTATAATATATTGTCTACGACTTACAAATCCTGTTCAAGAGAATTTACCTATTATTATTATTATAAAAAACTGATGATCCGAATAACTGCTGAGCATAACTTTTTTATGTTTTGCACTTGTAAGAATAATTTAATACTCGAACAGGTGAGACATACTCATTAAAGCAAAACAACTTTTAAATATTAGTACCTATATAAATGGGTATTATATCTGAATTCTGCCCCCTAATACCAGCACTGAAATTATAGTTATTATTCTTTTCCAG